GCTACTACAGAGTTTCCAGCATATAACATGACTCATATGCTCCGCCACAGTGCAGCGAGGACACCTAGCTAGCCGCGCCATCGCCTAAAGGTGCCAGAGACTGCAGCCCAGCAGAATGAGATCATCAGGGGCGTAACAGCTATAGTGGAGGAGCAGCTAGATGATCAGTAGGAGGGTATGGTCGAGAGCGACCCCAGCGACAGTTCAGATGATGACTACCAGGATATCCCTCAGATGCCTCCACGATGACATGACGGTGAGGCCAGTGGCTCCAGCTTAGCTCCATAGGCACCGCAGACAGACCTCGCTCTACTTGTTATACTTAAGCGGATGAGGCAAGATCAGGCTCGCCAGGCCCAGGAGACCGCAGCTGCAATTGCACGGGTTCAGGCTAGATAGGACGAGTTCCAGCGACCGCAGTAGGCTATCCAGCATCAGGCCATGCAGCAGCAGCAGCTCCTCATGCAGCAGCAGTTACTTGGATTCATATAGCATGTCGTCTCTACTATTGGGGCTCCATCGCCATAGCTTACACCTCAGCTCGGCCAGCCTGCCACCACTTCACAGACTCCAGTTGTAGAGCCCAGTGGGCTTCAGAGTCAGGGACAGCCAGTGACATAGTTTCCTTCACCGATAGAGCAGTGTCCCAGTGGTTTGCTTCGCCTTTGATAGCCTAGGGTCTTTCCTTCACACCTCTACATACGGGCTTCTCACACGGCTCCGAGCTCCTCATTGCTTGTGACTGATACCCCAGTTTCCAGGAGCCTTGGTGCTACTTTTAGCGAGTTGACAGGGCAACCTACACCGCCAGATCTACATGTCCCTGGTCCTTCCACAGTTGCTCCTATTACTGGGACTACAGAGACGCTCCCATCATTAGTTGCATCATCAGGGCCACCTGCTACAGTCATACCTGCAGAGTCACAGGCTGCACCAGTCCCAGATCCGACCCAGATCGCTTCAGCGTCACTTCCAGCGATAGAGGGTCATATAGCTCAGAGCTCTGGATCAGAGGATGATGGCACATAGTTCTAGATTGCTCACCGCACCTCAGCGCCCGACTCGTCTGCTCCTGCCCCGCCGATAGACCCTTAGGTTTTGGTGTTTGATGCCAAAGAGGAGAGGGATCGAGTATGATAGACATAGGGGGAGCAATTTATCTAGGGGGAGCTTATTCATTATATTTGTCTTTTTATGTGTGATACACTATTATGCATTCATGTTTACTTTTATGCATCGAACTACATAAGTGTGATCGTGATATTTAAGTGATACATGATATTTATGTGATATGTGACATGTGTGCTCTCTACTTTGATCTTTATATATGTTATGTCACTTGGTTATGCTTATTTGCTTTGCTTCCGCGTTTTACTCCGATGCAAATGAGCTTTATTTCTTTTACTCATGCTTATTTCATATCTATTGAGTACATCATGTTGGCTTGGGTCATATAAGCTTGCCTAACACTTTTGTTCTTATTGTCAAAAGCTTATATGAACCAAGCATGTTGAAAACCTCATCTTTTTTACATACTCGAGGTTATATTGTCATCAATCACCAAAAAGGGAAAGATTAAAAGCATCTAGGCCCCTAGTTGAGTTTCGGTGATTAATGACAATACGTGATTACTATGACTAACGTGTGTTTTGCAGAGGCAATTAAGTTAGGTCATGGTAATGGCAATTGATTGGGTAATCATGGTTGTCATGCCCCTACGATGGAAATCGTTTCGGTTTTCAAAGGATGGACTAGTTCTAAGTGTCATTTGGTGTTGAAGAGACACTTAGAGTAGTTTAGGACTTTGTTTTTCCTTTGGCCGTACTATTAAGGGGGGTATGGACTAGTAGCTTGACCTAGGTGAATATAGTGGGTTAGGTGTGGTGCACACTTGTCAAATCTAGCACTAGATAGCTCCGAAGTAGCTCTTAGATCAATTGGAACAAACTTCATTCACATATGATTTCGAGTTGGAAGTGAATGAAGGGTCAAATGTTGACCGGACGCTGGTTCCGGTGTGACCGAACGCTGGCGCAGAGTCCGGTTAGTTCATTTGATCAAGGTGAAGTCGTCTAGTTACGACCGGACGCTGAGAGAAGAGTGATCGGACGCTAGGTGCCAGAGTCCGGTCAACTCCAGGAAGGTTCCAGAGAGGGAGAATCCTGATCGGACGCGTCTAGTCAGTGCTGACCGGACGCTGGTCAGGTTTCGGCTACTGACCGGATGCTGAGCAGCAAAGTGACCGGACGCTGGGTGTTAGAGTCCAGTCAACATCAGCAAGGTTCTAGAGAGCAGTTTTCGCGACCGGACGTAGGTCAGAGTCTGGTCACAACTTAATGGCTTAGTGGCGGGGGGAACTGACCGGAGCGCCCGGTCACCTTGACCGGAGCGCCCGGTCACCCCGCAGAATGCTGACTTAGGCACATAACGGTTCGTTTTGAATGAGGAGGTACAAATACTTTCTCTATTCATTCAAGGGATCACTCTTGCCCATTTCAACAGCTGAGAAACACTCTTGAAAGTGCCAAGGAAAGCAAGAGCCTAGTGAGGTGATTGAGATTTGAGAATCCAAGATTAATGCTTCACTAGCAAAAAGAGAGTAGCAAGTGTGCATCCACCCTTCTCATTAGGCTTGTTGTGGTCAAGTGAGAGTTCTTGCTTGTTACTCTTGGTGATTGCCATCACCTAGACGGTTTGGTGGTGATTAGGAGTTTGGTGATCATCCGGCGGAGCTTGTGGATGACCCAACTCAAGTTGTGAGCGGTTGTGGGCGATTCACCGCGACGGAGTGTCGAAGAATCAACCCGTGGAGAGCACTTGATCGTTGCGTAGATCAAAGGAGAGCTACACCCTTGCGTGGGTGCTCCAACGAGGACTAGTGGGGAGTGGTGACTCTCCGATACCTAGGTAAAACATCACCACGTTCCTTCTCTCTTTACTTTGAGCATTTACTTTTGAGCAATTCAATTCTTGTCTTTACATTCTTAGAATTGACATGCTAAGTAGGATTGGAACTTAGGTTGTAAAACTTTTGTGCGATAGATCATTAGAATCACATTCTAGGCACAAGGGGTGAAGTAGGCTAAGTGTAGGGTTTAATTATTGCAAAAAATTTTAGAATTAGCCCAATTCACCCCCCTCTTGGGCATCTTGATCCTTTCACATGGCTTGTCCCGGCGGCCGCCTTCTTCGCGTTACCACCTCCCCTCTTCGTCGCCGTCCCTCAGATCTGGAGTGCGTGTGAATGCGAATGGGGGAGCGCGAGGGCGAGGAAGACGAAGTGACGGAGTGGCAAAGGTGGGAGCGCGGAGCGCGGCGACGCAGTTATAAAGACACCCAACCTACTTTTCGCATTCAAGGGTTTTTGAGAAATCACACCATGCTGATTTTGCGCCCTTCCGAATTCCCCAAAGCGGCGTGGTGGGCCGTTATCTGGGTTTCCGCGCAACGGCGGCCCATATCGCCCATTATTCTCCGGTGCTCAGATAAATTTTGGATAAGTATAGACATGTACATTTAGTTCACTGAAAGTCTGTTGTGATGTTGTGCTAAGTTCAAACTCTATGTATATATGGTACAAGCGGTTGCATCTTTCAGCTGTGAAAATCGCATCTCCAGTCAAAGTAACAATGATTCAGTGACAAGCTTAGAATGCTACATTACTGATTAATGGGAAGATAATGAACACTGAAGATTACTACAAGAACACATTTTGGAAAAACTATGGTTCCACCATTTTGCTTCATCAAGGAAAGCTCCAAGAAATAACAGGAGCAAAATTCATTTGCTAACTGAGTGACTGCTGCATTGCACATAGAACAAACATATAGGTATTCATAGACATGAATATGTGCCGTGCTTGTGGTGAATTGCGTGTATGTCTGAACCTCTGTCAGTATTGTGTTTCTAAAAAAAAGATATTTACCTGGATGGCACCACATATGTTGCAACAACTGACAGCACCACATATTTTCATTGCCAAATCAAACAAATCATGATTCATGGCCACAAAAGAAAACAGAGTAGCAGGTATTATGGATATAAATGCATAACACAACCAGAAGACCAGGACCTACAACTACAAGAAGTTGTGCATCAATAATGCTTCATGATACCAGAAGCGGAGCCAAAAATGCGAGTCATGCATACAGGACTGGGATTAAAGGCTTTGATTACGGGACCAAATCCAAGAAAATTCACTGCAAACTCACCTAACTTGCAGCTAGTGCAACTCAAACCATTGTCACCAACCACGTGACTCGAGTGTCCTCCATTAGACTAGCTACATTCGTCAAATTAGGACAACAATCAATACCAGTGAAGGCAATTAGCACACACCAAATGGATGGTTACGTGGATGTGATTTCAGAGCAAGTGAATGTTCATACAATAAAGATATCGTGCACAGTGAATAAGAGAGTCGCTTTAGCTATCCAGAAGAATTTCCAACTCTGATTCTATTGTTACAACTTACTTGAATGCTTGAGTTCTGTCAGTGCATAAGTGGACTTCCCCTTTTAATGTCAGAGTTTTATCAAATCTTAAACGACAGTCCAATTTATATCTCATGACACTGCACACTGCAGCATACTGACTGAAAAAAAAAACTTCAATCCTAAACCAGCATATAAGCAAACACAAGCACTCTGGAGTCTAAGCAATCACAATTGTTTCAGGGGCATGCACAATTCACCATGAAACCCTCCCTGAAACATGTAGTCAGGTAGAATTGCTCTAACACAAATGTAATTATCAAATCATTCTACATAGTATTCCGCGCCCTCTACAACCTCATCCGATCCTAGAACACTATGCATGGTAGAAAGAAGGGATGCTAAGAATCACGAATGCACTCTTTGGTCTTCCAGGCAAGGGCAAGCATTGTAAAATGGAAAACTGTGATTCAATTCAAATGTGATTGGGAGCCAGTAAAGGTACACAGAATTGTACAAACAGCAAATAGGGAGGGAGAGGGAGATGACAACCATTTCGGAACCCCACTAGGCTGCGCCAGCCTCCTCCTCGAGCTTGCGCACGTAGGCGGAGAGCACAGCAACGACATCTCTGGCCGGCGCCTGCAATGTGGCGACGAGGGACGTAGCGGGTCCTTGCAGCGCGCCGAGCAGCGTGGCGTAAACCTCGGCGCGGCTGGGCATAGTCTCGAGCGTCTTGAAGTCGCCGGGCCCGTAAAACTTGCCCTCAAAGACGGCCCCGACAAAGTCGTTGGTCTCCTCGACGCGCTCCTCCTTCTGGAAGGCGCGGTAGGGCTTGAGCGCGGTGGGTACCTCCTCGGTGTGGACGAAGAGCCAGGCGTTCATACCCTTCATGCACGGCTTGAGCGCCTCCCAGGTGGTGCCCTCGATGGCTTTCCCCACCAGCGTGTTCTTCGCCACCAGCAGGCTGCAGGTCTCGGGGAGCGCGTCGCGGATTCCCTGCAGCTGCTTCACCGTCAGACCCTCGTACTTGATACCCGCCAGGAGGTAGCACCCCTCCAGCTGCTCCCGGACGGTGGCCACCGTCTCCTCCTTGCGGCCCCGGGTGATTGCCGCGCGTATTGTGGAGCGGCGAGGGCGCTGTTGGGGACGGATCGAGGCTGCTCCGATGTGGGTTCGAAACGCGGGGAGGGGCTTTGCGGTGGGGAGCGTGGTGGGGAGGAAGGAGGTCTCCATTTTGCGGGGCGGGAGGGCGCCGGAGGAACGGCGGGTTGGGTCGCGCGCTGGGAGGGACGAACGGAGGAAGGAGAAAGAGTGGAGTGAAAGGGCTTATCTGTGAGAAGATGAGAGGGGGTTCACGTGGACTTGGTCTACGGAAAATTTAGATTATGTGGGGCCGAGTGCTCAGTGGCTCGGTTTAAGCCTTGGCTCAGTACGTAAGCTATCATCACTGGTCTTAAAAAAGGGCTAAATCTTTTTATGCGAAAAAAGAGGCTAACTCATGAATTTCTTTGAACATGTACCAAATTATACCTATAGTACACACAACATCAAAAGAATCCAGCAGCATTTCAGTTTCGGTTGCGCTGCATGGAGCATTTGACCTTTGTACTTGTACAGATAGTAATAAATTAGCCTCTTCAGCACCCAAAAAAAAAAGTGCAAGAAAATATGGCCTGCTGTCTCTAACGTGTATTTGTTGGTAGAATGAATAAGAGATAAGAGATCGACTTCCAGCCAAGGATTATAAATTTACTAGACCAAAAAAAATGGGCTGTACATCTTATCTTGTCAAGCATGCCAAATGACAATGATCAAGGGAGCATATAGTTGATGGCATCTTCAACAGTATCAACAACCTGAAAGGCAAACGCAACTTCTATCAGAACAGCAAGCAAATTATGATGATAAATCCACGATAATGGATAACCAATGTTTCCGTTTTCATCCTAGATATTTCATCACAACAGATCGATAGTGTTGAGTCAGCAAATTTCAGTTAAGCAGGAAACCTGCTATGAGAGCATCCACGAGAATCACAATCCAAGTAACATAAATAACGAATTAAAAAAAATTAGCTGCCAGTGAAACATGAATACGCTAACAAAAAATGAAGTAGGTAATTGTTTTCTTATAAGAAAAAGAAAGGCACCCAAATTGTAAGCCCACACCTATCACCAGCTGAACCAGGTTAGTTCCTATATTTTCTGGCGTTGTGGTGTGAAAGGACTGGCAATATAAGTTACACAGACATTTATCGTGCATTACACAAACAAAAACAAAGAGGCACATTTTTGCAGGTCATTACTCATTACTCGAGATTTGACCTCATGCAGATCAAACTCTCTAGCTGTGTGAGCTGCTCTACTACTGAGAACACTAAAAAGGATAATAGAACTGAGACAATGAGGTTCATTATAAGATGGGCAAGTCGCTTATGGTTATTGTTAATTTAAGAATCAAACATCTGTCATGTATACATATATTTTCTTGCCAAACATGTGTTACAAGATAACTTATCTGCAGGAAACTGTGGGTCGTTATCTTTTCCCCTAAAAACACCCGTCCTTGTAAGAACAGATCACCATGGGTGGCCAGCCTGGAAAGTTCAAATTACGCAGGTTAAGTATCTCTTGATAGGAAGCAATGGCCTACTGTGTTGGTCCACAGTTAGCCTCTCCGACCACCGAGATGATCTCCAGACCACTCCGTTGGTCTCACAGGATCACCGGCTCACGATAGTGAACCACTCCAGCCGATCTTGCCGACCACCGGCTCAAGCGAATGGAGCACTTGTCGGTCTCGCCGCTGAAAGCGCAGCGCTAGTGTTGCCGAGCACCCACTAGCCGTCAGAGACCACGCATACGGCGTTGTCCGTACCCACATACTACGGATCGAGCTAGAAGAGGAAGGAGAAGCGAGCAAGCACGCACAATACAAGGCAACAGCGGCGTTGGCGAAGCCTAATACGTGTGATGGCAAATCTGAGCTCTCTTTCTTGAGTTGCCATACATGTCTATTTATACAACTCTAACTATTTAGTTCATGTGCAGCGCCCATCTTTGGCACGATAACTAGATAACCGGCAGGCTGACTGCTGCGCAAGCCCTTTGCGCTGTTCCTCTGATCTTTGTAGGTGAGCCGTCTGGCGTCTGCACCTGACTGACTTCAAGCCATCAGATCACGAGGGGCAAAAAGTCGGCGCCGCCTTCCCTTCTTTGTGTTCACACAACAGGCAGTAACTAAGTCGGCGCCGCCTTCCTCTCTGTTGTGTTCTCACAAGGTGGCGATGGATTAGCTAACAATCTTCCCTAATCCTCTCGCTAACCCTTGTAACCCCTCCATGCCGATCATCTCCTTCACTCCGTGAGTTGAAGTCTTCCAGCGGCTTGGTGAGGACGTCCATGAGTTGCCGACCAGTTTCGACAAACTCGATGACGATCGCCCTCCATCAAACACAGTCCACGAGGAAGTGGAACTTCACGTCGATGTGTTTACTCGGTCGTGCGTAACCGGATTCTTCGCGAGGGCGATGGCGGTGGTTGTCCACCATCGGTCTTTGGTGGGTGAGCTTCCACGCGGTTAGCTCACCCGATGGCCGGCGTAGCCACACAACTTGGCACGCGCTTGTTGTGGCCGCCTACGCTACTCGCCTCGCACGTAGATAGCGCTACCACCTTACATTTCAACGACGACCATGAAATTGGGGCTGACCCGAGGAAGACGAAGTACGCCGGAGTGTGCTCGTCGTCCGTCGATGTCCCCCGCCATGTCTGCATCGCTGAACACCGTGAGCTGCAGCCTACTTCCCCCAGTCTTTGGGAAGATGATTCCATGATTCACCGTCCCCTTGACGTAGCGTAGTAGCCGCTTTACCGCAGCCCAGTGATCCTCTCTGGGATCCTTCATGAAGCGACTGACGTAGCCCACAGCGAACACAATGTCTGGACTTGTGTGGACTAGGTAGCGCAGACCGCCGACGATGCTCCGGTAGAGTGTTGCATCTACTTTCGCCGCGGTGCTATCCTTCGTCAGCTCCAGCCGCTCCTCCATCGGAGTCACGCATGGCTTGCACTCCACCATGCCGCTCCTCTCCAATAGCTTGGAGGCATACGCGCTTTGCCCGAGCGTGAGTTCCTCCTTCCCCTGTCTCACCTCGATGCCGAGGTAGTAGGAGAGAGCGCCGAGATCGCTCATTCGGAAACGAGCTGCCATCTCTCGCTTGAAGCTGTTGATATTCTTCGTGCGCATGCCGGTGACGATTAAGTCATCCACATACACGCCGACCACGAGTTCTTCCTTCCCCGTCGTCGGCGTGTAGATCGCGATGCTCTCTTTCTGCGCACCCTCTGAAACCCAAGCTCGCCGGCGTGGTGTCAAGCTTGGCGTTCCATGCTCGAGGGCTTGCCTCGGCCAGAGGCGCTTTTCTGCGGTCGGAGCACCCGTGCTCCTCTCCCTTGACAGCGAACCCTAGAGGTTGCACGACGAAGACCGTTCGCCGCCACTCGCCATTGAGGAAGGCCGATTTAACGTCCATGTGATGGACACGCCCGATCCTTTTTGCCGCCAAAGCAAGTAGCAAACGGACCAACTCCATGCGCGCCATCGGTGCAAAGACCTCCTCGAAGTCGATGCCCTCATGTTGGACAAAGCCTCGGCGACGAGGCGCGCTTGTACTTGACAATGGCGCCGAGCTCGTCCTTTTGACTTTTGTACACCCACTTCAGGGTTGATCGGACGACATCACGGGGTGGATCGACGAGCCGCCAAGTCTTGTTTTCCTCGATCGCCTTCATCTCCTCCAAAGCATTGCCCGTCGCCGGTTTCCATCACGCTCGGCTAAGCGCGAAGCGTGGGTGGTTCTCTACGCGACGAGTAGCAGCTCTGCGTCGTTGAGCGACCTACCCGCCATACCCGAGGGACTGTGCCACCGATGTCGTCCACACTGTGGAACCTCAACTCCTCACCTTCGTGGTAGGCGTCCACGAACTTAGTGATGTCACTTGGAGGTGAGGCGAACTCGATCAGGGGTGATGGAGTTCCTTCTTCCGCCGGAGTGCCCCGATAGCACTGAAGTGCTAAGATCGCTTCGGGATCGCTCGTCATAACTCCTGCGGTGTTCGGCCACTTTGTAGGAGTGCCTAGCCTCGATCTTGGAGTGGTCGGAACCACGATGAAGACATCTTGGCTCCGCCACGGAGTGCTCGGTACCCGAATCTGAAGTGGTCGCCGCCATCAGAGAACCACCTGGCTCCACTCTGGCGTGCTCGGAATTCCTCGAAGTGCTCGACACTCCTCTCGGAGTGCTCGGCATCCCTCTGAAGTGTGCTCAGCCGCGCCCGAAGTGCTTTCGACTCTACCGCCGGAGTGCTCGGCGGCGCTCCCCGAGTGCGTGGCACTGTTCGCAGCTGCGTCTCCACCGCCGTGGATGACCAAGTGCTCGACGACGAAGGTGTTGGTGAAGCCCCCGCTTTCCCGTGCTCGGATTGTGCCGGTCCCAAGTCGCCTCCTCGTTGAACACAACGTCGCGCGAGACAGACGATCACCTTGTCTCCGCATGGGTCATAGAGCAAGCACGCCTTGGTACCCTCCGCGTAGCCTAGGGAACACCATGGGTGTGCTCTCATCCTCCGGCTTGATGAGGTTCGGCCGTCTTCGACATGGCCGATGCAACCGAATGTCCGGAGGAATGACACGTTCGGCTTGCTCCCCGTACCAAGCTTCGAACGGCGTCTTGCCCGTTAGGGCTTTGTTGGAGCGCGCGTTGAGGATGAACACCGCCGTGGTCACCGCCTCTCCCCGAACTTTCTTGCGGCATCCTTTGGCCTTCATCATGGATCGGGCCATGCCGACCTTGTATCGGTTCCGTCGCTCCACCACGCCATTCTGTTGTGGCGAAGTGCGGTAGCGGTGTGATGTTGCCCCACACCTTGATCCGCGCGAGACGTAGCAAACTCCACCGAAGTGAATTCGCCACCCGATCGGTCCTCGAAGACGAGGAGCTTCTTGCCGCTCTCGGCCTCGCGCGTCTTGAACTTCTTGATCGCCACCGCCTTCGTCCTTGCTTCGTCGGGGAGTTGCGACCACATGTAGCGACTGCAATCGTCCATGAGTAGGAGGAAGTACCGCCGACCACCGCATGTAGCAGGCGTGATCGGCCCGCAGAGGTCGCCGTGAACTAGCTCGAGAGCTTCCTTCGCGTGATACTTGGCCGCCTTTGGGAAAGGTAGCCTCCTCGCTTTCCGGCCAGGCGGTATCACATAGCTCACCTCCGTGTTTGATGTAGGGTAGCCCTCGGACCATCTTCCCAACCCGACCAAGCGTCGGTGAGATGTCCGAACCGGGCATGCCACATCCACAGTTCCTCGGAGTGCCTTGCCGCCAGCAAACCGGCTGCTCTACCTTGGTCGAAAGGTACAACCGTTCGAGGACCTCTTCACCTTGGTGAGAAGTCCGCTGCCCGCCTCTCGATCCTCGAACACCGTCCTTGATCGAACCTCGCTACCGCGCTCATCCGGTGACCAATGCCGATGATCTTCGAACGCAGTGCGGGATGTAGTATACATCCGTTAGCGCGTATGGTGCTCCCTATTCGGCATCGAAGATGATGGTGCGCGCCCTTGGATAGCCACCCTTGAGCCGTCACCAAACTTCACCATACCGGTAACATCATTTGTCGAGCTCGGAGAAGGAGTCCTTGGAGCCCGTCATGTGGTTACGGCACCGAGTCCGAGATACCACCGGCGCTCGGTCGACGCCCACATGCCCAAGATGGACTTGGGCACGTGGTTCGTCGAGGTTGACGGTCTTCGTGGCCTTGCTAGATCATTCCACCGTCGTCGCCTCTTCCCTCTCCATGGCCTCGGCGTAAATGCGAAGGTACGTAACGTCGCCATAAGGATAGTAGCCTCATCCTCATCATCGGCTTTCGCCGGTGAGCTTGAGCCTTCTTTTCCTTCTTGCGATTTGGGCACTCCGCGTGCCCAATGGCCCATCTTTCCCGCAACAACCGGCAGGCGTTGAGTCGATTTGCTTCTTCACCGAAGAAGCCCCGCCGCGATGTTTGCCGTTGCCACCGTGATCGGAGGAGGTCGCCTTCCGGAGTTTCGCCGAGCGAGCAGCCCTCCTCTTCCGTCGGCAGAGAGTTTCCCGCCGTCTTCGTTTGTTGTCGCTTTGCTCTAGCGCGCTCGTCCACCGCCCGTAGATGGCCTCGCCACATCCTTGATGGTGAGGGTGGACAAGTCCAAAGATCGTCTCTATGGATAGAGCGATCTGGATGTACTTTTGCCGCGACGACGAGGTGGAGGAACTTTGAGACCGCCTCCTCTTCGTTGATGGTGACGGCGTGGCTCTTTGACTTGGCGATGAGCGTCTCTGCAGGAGGGAGAAGTCCTCCACCGTTTCACCATCCTTGAACTTGAGGTTTGCGTATTCTCTCGCTGTAAGCCGGGGCGTTGTTTTCTTTTGCGTGGTCGGAACCGACGCAGATCGCCGCAATGGTCTCCCATGCCTCCTTAGTTGGGCTCTTCGTCCCTAGCGGTTCCCTATACTCCGCCGGTACAGCAGCGAGTATAGCCTCCATCGCCGACATGTCGTCTTCTTCCACGTCGGTGCCCTTGTCAATGACATTCCAGAGCCGACGGGCTCGAGCTTGACCTTCATGGTCACCGACCACTCTCCATAGTTAGTGCGAGTCGGCGTCGGCCAAGTGGTGCCGCCGACCTCCCTTTGACCGCGGCGAACAACTACCTCCGGTAGTGGTCGGGCAGCCACGACAGTGCCTAACGCCGTCGCCCAACTCCGAACCGCTTCATCATCGCCATCGGTTAGAATGACGACGGCGCTTGTACGGCTCTGATACCACTTGTTGGCCCACAGTTAGCCTCTCGACCACCGAGATGATCTCCAGACCACTCCGTTGGTCTCACAGGATCACCGGCTCACGACAGTGAACCACTCCGGCCGATCTTGCCGACCACCGGCTCGGCGAGTGGAGCACTTGTCGGTCTCGCCGAAAGCACGCGCGCTAGTGTTGCCGAGCACCCACTAGCCGTGCGAGACCACGTCTGCGGCGTTGTCCGTACCCACACACTACGGATCGAGCTAGAAGAGGAAGGGAGAACAGAGGAAGCACGCAATACAATACAACAACAGCGGCGTTGGCCAAAGCCACTATCGTGTGATGGCAAATCTGAGCTCTCTTTCTCGAGTTGCCATACATGTCTATTTATACAACTCTAACTATCTAGTCCATGTGCAGCGCCCATGCTTTGTTGATAACTAGATAACTTTGACTGACTCTACTGCTTTCTGCACAGATCCAGGTGAGCCCTGCTTTGCACCTCTGATCTTGTATCACAGCAGGGGGGTGAGCTGTGTCTAAGTCGGCGCGCCTTCCTCATTGTGTTCTCACAAGGTGGCGAGTAGATTAGCTAAGCTTGGCTCATTGCTTTCAATTCAATGTAATAGAAGAGCAACATAGAAAAAGAAAATTGTTGAAAGTGGATGGGGCAAAGGGTCAGGTAGCCTGTTTTTTGCAAGCTAGCTGTTCTTGCAATGTTGATCTCATCAAGGAAACGGATATTGAAAGCTGTACATCATCCTTGTACCATCAACCACTCCATGCAGTGAATATTTTTTTTATAAATGATAAATGTATCAAAGACTAACCTTCATAGCTCCATTGATATCCACTTTAGGGTTATCGCCAACCATGTAGATAGTTGAAAACTGACAATCTTTTACTTCCATTGATGTCTGAATGTTCTCACAAGGTGGCGATAATTAGCTAACACACAAATGGATTAGATTTGGCTCATAATTTAAGTGAGCAGCTTTCAATTCAATGTAATAGAAGAGCAACATAGAAAAAGAAAATTGTTGAAAGTGGATGGTATGTTATTCAATAGGGTAATCCTGTTTTCCAATGCATCAGGTAGCCTGTTTTTTTGCTGGACTACAAGCTAGCTGTTCAATATATATTGTATAATATGCAATGTTGATCTCATCAAGGAAACGGATATTGAAAGCTGTACATCATCCTTGTACCATCAACCACTCCATGCAGTGAATATTTTTTTTTATAAATGATAAAATGTATCAAAGACTAACCTTCATAGCTCCATTGATATCCACTTTAGGGTTATCGCCAACCATGTAGATAGTTGAAAACTGACAATCTTTTACTTCCATTGATGTCTGTGAATTAGGATACATACTCATAACAAGTTTTTCAAGTATGTTTGCTGCATTCTTGAACACAAATGGATTGCATCAAAAGAAGCAAATGACTTGGAAGGACTAAGATTTCATCAAAGATTATACTATTATCTGACTAATTTGATCAATCAGTGGATGATCATTTATTCTGCAATTTAAGTGAGCAGAAAATGATTAAGCTGTCCACACATCCATGCTTATAAATTTGAAGTACAATATCTCATAAATATAAAAATGGCTTACTGATTGAAGATAGATGCTAAACAATTAGCAATTAAAGTACACATAATTTTTTCGAAGAACAAAGCTATCCTGAAGGCACCCATGCCAAGCCGCTCAGAAGGAAATGCAGCCTGCCATAGGATCTCAAAAAACTAAGTTTCTTCCAGTGCAATGGTTATCTTACTATCATTGAACCTGGATGGAAATAAGAGAAATTGTGGCCTGTATGTGGGGTGTCTCAAGTGGGCCTTTCGTGGTGGCGTGATTCACGGTATAGCACCATTGTTGACATATCATCTTACCTGGTATTCAAGATCATCAGCTGCAAAATACAAAGGAGGTTGATTCCCTTTTTCAGTCCCAGGAAGTCCACCAGTAGACAAGATGTCACAGAGTACCTTTCATATGGAAATAAAAAAGAAATCAGATTACTGAACTTATGTAGCCAATCTGAAAAGGAAGTAATCACAATTTCACGTGAACAGATGCACTTAGAGGAAAAGATGTTTATGGATCACTCATTAAGATAATATGTGAAAATGAAACAAATGCAGCCCAAGAAGGTTTTCGATTAGTGAGGCATGGGCATGAAAGAAGTACCTGTAAATCTCTTCCCCAGTCAACAGGATCACTGACAACAAACACTCCTTTAACTCGCTCTGAATAAACATCATATGATGGGTGCACTTTCGCAGACATGTAACTGTCTGTTTGCCCAACTTTCCAAGTCTTGAAAGGAGCCAGGGGGTCAATATCTTTATAATATGATGCATATTCATCTATGGACATAACTTTTCTGTAGACACACATGACTCGTGAGGAATTCACACAATAAATTTGACCCATGATAGGAACATGAAGAATTACCTAAATCCGTCCTCGGACATCACTACTACAGGCTCTCCTTTTCCAATGGCAACAATAAGGTCATCTTCGAAACTGCAGAGTTCAAAAAGGGGTTCCATTCAGGTGCTACAAGTCCATGAAGAAACACGAAATCATTGATGTAGTACTTGAAAGGCACACCGCTTCACCAGCTCACTGTAAGGAGAATGGCCATGCACAACCTACACGCTTCAGAAATTTTTGTAGATGGAAATTTAACATAGCCAATGGTTGAGAAGGTAAAGAAAAGAGATGCACTAATTTTCTCTCCTTACTATAGGGATTTATTAGTTAGCTTGAAGGTCCATAGCTGTGAAGTAGATAAGCAATGACTCATGAGTACTGCAGAAGTACCTGAGTTGGAGAAATGTTGACTCCTAAAAGTTGGCTTAGCTCAAGGGCCCTTCTATGCTCTGGAACACCCCTCCTACCAACAAATTGGTAATAATAACCTCAATAAGAAATTCAGCAACACAATTAAAAGTTCCACGGTACATGGTGCCTTTGTACAACCCTTAGCTGTGATTACTGATGGCCATGTAAAAGCTATAACAAAACTTATAATAGGATGACTGTTCACTGTTCATATAACAATTATCCACAGCATTAAAAAGTTGATAATCAACCTTTCCAGAACAAGATTGCCTCTTAGATAGTAACTCAAAGAACAGGTTCCGTTGAATGAAGATAATCCAACATTAGTCAAATAATCAAATGCACCAGTCTAGTAAATGTCATATAATTTGGCAGTCTAGTTAAGAACAATGTCTATCAAAGAACAGGTTTCGTCGAACGCATTGCATGATGTACAGTAGGAACTTTTTAGAAATATCCCAAAACAGGGAGCTAGTATGCGACAATGATAGGAAAACAGGGTGTGCAAAATGTACAGTGAATTACTCACCGTTAGTTAAAAACAGAAACGGAATCTTCAGGGTACCTGAAAAGGAACAAATAATGTGATCCATAATCTTTAACCCTAGTAGATGCTATAGGCATAACTTAGCAAATACGAATAGCAACATTAATTACCCTCACAGGTTCGCACTACAGAAATGAGTAAATGATGCAGCCTCAAAATTCAATTTTAAATCCAAATACGATTTAGGTCATGTTCGTTTCTTTTATAATCCGTACTTTTCAGTTTGTTTTTTTCAGCTGGAATAGTATTTTTTCTCACACAAAATCAGCCAAAACAGTATTTCGATTGTTTTTTCAGCGAAGCGAAACAGGCCTTTAGTAATAAAGTAATACACAGGACACAAGAGTAAACACAAGACACAATGCCTAACGACTTGGACCCGTTCGACGAAATGCTCAAAAGACACGAATGCTGCAGGCATGGCCAGACATCCGAGTCCACTTCGCCGTTACAAACACAAGAGCCCCTCATGCTGGCCTAGAGCATCTTTCGTAGTGGCACGCGGGTAAAAGGCTCGGAAGCCCCTCATGCTGCCCCGCCGTGCTCTAGAAGTCTACAGCTCGTGTGCCCAACGGCCTTCGGCTTCTCAGCGCATGCGAGGCCGTCTGGCTCCGCGCCGTCCGCGGCCTCCAGGCGTCCACTCTGGCTGACGCGTGGGCCACACCTTGTGCAGAACAAACACGAGCCAGGGAGAACATGGCGCAGGCGCAGCCGCACTCTTCTTCCAAGGCTCGAGCCCATCGCGTGGCGACAGCCGCATAACCGCATCCTGGCCACCGAGATCCCACGTAACTACCCCGACTGCCCGAGCTCGCCGGCTCCCCGCCACTGACCAGCCAGAGCCAGGAGTAGCCCAGTGCCCGCCGCATGGCCGCGCGCCCACCTCTCGTCATGCCGCGCGCCGCCGCCAGCGCCGGCCCGCTCCCGGCTGCGGCGACCGTGGCCCCGCGCCAGTCCGCGCAGTGTCTCCGCTCGAGGGGGGCTGTCGGCGGCCTCTTCTTCGACCAGCGGACAGCGCGCCCGGTCCGCCACCCTGACGCCAAGTTTGGAGCGATTGGTCGGTACCCCAATCCCCTTTGTCGCTTCGATACCGTCAGTTCGGTTCTCTGAAGAAGTCTCGCGCGCCAACGCTCACTCTCTCGTCACATGCTGTGTTCGACGCGATCTCCAGGGAGCACCGCGGAGGCCGCGCCGACGGAGGGGCTCGTGCAGAAGCTGCAGGGGGTCGAGGTGTTCGACCTGAGCGGCAAGGCGGTGCCCATCGTTGATCTGTGGAAGGAAAGGAAGGCAGTGATTGCGTTTGCCCGCCATTTCGGGTCGGCTCACCGTTTATCTGGGAATTATTCGTTGATTTATGAGTGACTGCTGTGGCTGATATGTTGGCATGCATGCCTCTGCCTGTTCCGTTTGCAGGTGCGTGCTGTGCCGGAAGAGGGCGGACCTTCTCGCGGCGAAACAGGTTCCATGGCTGATTTCTCGCGCTGTTCTTCTGTAGCCACTTCAGAGTTTGCTGTTTCAATACTTTGCCAGTTGCCGGTGTGCAGTAACAAAATTTGAAATACTTCCCACTTTGCTTAATGCATCAAGGTGCTTTAACAAGTATTCCTTCTAAACTTTCTAGTTGTACGTTGCCTAGTGGTAGTTTGGCAAAGGGCGGTTTTTCCATGATAGATCTTCTGATGTTGTCAAAGGTGGGGGGAGTTCCTTAATGCCCACCTGATGTTAAATTGATCCCTCAAAAATAGCCTTAGGTCCGAAGAGGAAGGATATAGATAATGAAGGAATTCCTTTTTGTTTATTTATGTAGTTTGTTAGTTTCCCTTGAATTCAAAGTTGGTTTAAGAACTGCTTTTCCATTTTTGCTATTTATCTTCTCATTTTCTTAGTTTAGTAATATTGATTTCCTATAAACAACTTTAGCAAAGTAACACATTGGTTACAGGATGTGACATATACATGAGGAAAGCTTAAGCCATGTTAGAACCGGCAGGCTTCTCTTTGTTAGTCCCTCTATATTCTGAATTTTGAACTTATTTCTTGGCTTGCCACTAATGTGCAGGATGTCATGCAAGCTGCTGGAGTTGCTCTTGTTTTAATTGGACCAGGTAGTGTTGAACAGGTATGTTTTCATCTGCAATAAAAGAACCTCATTCTATGTTATGTTTTTTAATTTGGTACTAGTTGTGAAATGCAAAATCTATGTGATCAGCAAGAGTGATAAGTGATTAGCCATCTTGCGTGCAATATGTGTTGTTCGGTTCATAAGCAAGTATGCAGTTTCTAGGGCATCTTCAAGAGACCCTCTATATGGCTCTTTATCAAATTTAGAAAACAAACCAAAAAAAATTATGGTCCAATAGACTTTCTAAACCACTCTCCATCTTTTCTGTCCTCCGAAACCACCCTTCTGGCTCTCCACTAATGGAGAGGATATATCACTCTCTAAATTCAATATTTGGTGGTTCTATCATGATTTTTTTCAGATAAAGAAAATTATTAGAGGCCATTGGAGTATAGAGAACGAAACTTAGAAAGTGTGTTGGAGACAATAAAGAGAATATTCGTGGGATGCCTCTCCAAATAGAGATAAGGAGATTGAAAGTTTAGAGAGGCTCTTGGACGGGTATCTGTATCTTTATTTACCACAATTGAGATTCCGGTGATGAATGGCGCTTTCTTCTGATGAGAAATTAGTGAGCTTTAGTTTGCTAATTCTGTAAAAATTAATGTTGCCTTCCTTGAGAATATTACTTGAATTACAACTCATGAAGATGAGCTACAGCTTTAAATGAAAATTTTGGGTTGGTAAATATTTTCTATGAACACCATTTCTGTTGTAAATAAACTAGCATGTCAATGATAAATTGCATCTTGTTTTTTCTTGATCCAGGCAAAGGCGTTTTGTGAGCAAAACCAAATTCAAAGGAGGTCTGTTTCTTGAATAACCTCTACTCCAGGCCTTGTGGCCACCACTTCTTTAACGAGAGTACAAATAATCATGTAATATGTGCTAAGAGGATATACAAATAAATTATGTGCACTTAATATAATAATCAAGGTGGTATCTATGAAGTTATTAAGTTATCCTGTGAGGTTTAGATAACAAACATGTTCCTTCCTGTCTCATGAACATTGATGTCTCTATTTTACAAGTGTGATTTGCAACTCAGAATAATCCATGATACACAAGTGGATGATGTTGCCTTTAGCATGACTTGGTGTGGCTGTATGCAAGTATGTACTCAACTCCTGAAGTAGTACCAGTAGGAATCACGGATCTGGGACTGAAATTTACGTCCAGCAGATAAAGAGTGTCCTACTTTTTGTTTGGAAAAGAAATTAAGTATTGATTTAAGTTAGGGCAAGGCTGTTAAGGCATCAGGCAATAAGGCATACCCAAGTCACCATATGACGCCTTGCTGCCTTAAGAACCTTGATTTGGGCATTTCGTGATAGCTGTCCAATAATAAATAAGCTAAGTAAAAAAAGCACAGCTGGATCCTTTTTCTTTCTTTCTTTTTTACATAAATGTTAAAAATAAATCTTCTCTTGATTTCCTGGAAGGTATTTAAGTGTGTAAATCTGTGATCATGTGTTTTCTGACTAATACTTTTTGCTGCAAAACTTCTACTTCTGTACACTGTATAACAAATCTGGCATTTTACATTACAGAAGTGTATGCAGACCCAACTCACTCATCATATGACGCTCTTGAATTTGCATTCGGGTTGTTCTCTACCTTTACGCCAGCGGTAACTTTTATACTGGACTAAATTTTGCACGCTGTGTAGTTTATGTTCCCCAACATATACATAAACGGTTCTTTCCATCATTTCACAGGCTGGCCTCAAGATAATACAGTTGTACAGGGAAGGATACAGGCAGGACTGGGAATTGTCATTTGAAAAGAACACTAGGACAAAAGGCGGATGGTATTGCATTCTGGTTTTGCCTTTTTGCTTTCTTATAATTCTGAGTTGGCTGTTAGAGCTTTTGCAATTGTCTTTTCTAGCATTGATCTAATGCATATCTCTACTTTAGGTATCAAGGGGGGCTGATTGTTGCAGGTCCGGGTATCGATAACATCTTGTACATCCACAAGGTCAGTGCCTCTCATACGAAAATTTTGTCCCTTCTGTTCTATTTATGTAATATATAATCAATAGGGGGGAACTCCTCCTGTTGTCCTCAAGAAAAAAAATCATACTATGATACTGAATGAATGCAACTTCTCTTTTCTGGTATCTCTTTTAACAGGACAAAGAAGCCGGAGATGACCCTGACATGGAGGATGTGTTGAGAGCTTGCTGTTCCTGAAAATTAGTGCCCCCACGCCCCACAGTCACTCCATCTCTTATTGTAAAAGTCAGGTTGTAAGTAGCCCTCATCAATCTTCAGGCTTCAGCGATCCTGTTCAGGGTGTATGGGCTTTTTTCTTATATGTATACAGCGCGCGGGGAAAGCCAAACTACGTGTACATATGTATGGTTCTGTATAGAAATTAATAAATTTGTGGATATCTGTTTGCATGTGCTACTATACTCAGATGCCCGCTGAGTTAATTTTCCATTCAAGTGGACATTGAGCTCGTCTCAGCACTTCTTCTCGGTGCTCCACGAGTCAACAATGCATTCGTTTGCCTGTTCGGTGACGACCAGCCTGCTCCCTCCGTCAAAAAAAAAAAAACTTTTTAAGTTTAACTAGATTTGTAAAAAATATTAGCAACATTTGTATTTCTAAATAAATTTATTATAAAAATATATCTAAAGAATCATCTAATGATACTAATTATATCTCATCAATATTAATGTTTTGTTGTATATATTTGGTAAAGTTAATGACTTCTGCTGAAGCGAGAATATAGGACGTAGCAGACGTTGATGTTCTGTCTCATTGCGTCCGCGAGACTGAGTCAGTTGAGCAAACTGGAAAGGCCCGCAGAGCCCAGAAGCTCTTCGGCCCACTAGCCCAGCCGAGACGCCGCGCCCGACAGGTCCCTCCTCCGGTCCTCCCACTCCCCACCCACAAACCAAATCGCAGCCGCGCTCGAGATCGAGCTCAAGCCCCGCCGCCATCTCCGCCGCGCTCTCCCAAAACCCCGTATTTCCCTTCGCTGCCTTCCGATCTCTCGCTCCTCCCCATGTCGGAGAAAAAGCGCCGTGCCGGGGCGAGCGCGGCCGGCGCCGCATCCAGCTCCAAGAAGCCGCGCGCTTCCTCGGCCGCGTCCTACGCCGAGTCCCTCCGCTCGAAGCTCCGCCCCGACTCCTCCATCCTCGCCACCCTCCGCTCCCTCGCCTCTGCCTCCGCTTCCAAATCCAAGGCCGCCGCCAAGTCCCTCGCGGACCACGACCCGTCCGCGGACCCCGCCTCCTCGTACATCGTGGTGGCCGACCAGGACTCCACCTCCGTCACCTCCCGCATCAACCGCCTCGTCCTCGCCGCCGCGCGCAGCATCCTCTCCGGTCGGGGCTTCTCCTTCGCGGTGCCCTCGCGCGCCGCCTCCAACCAGGTCTACCTCCCGGACCTCGACCGCATCGTGCTCGTCCGCCGCGAGTCCGCGCGCCCCTTCGCCAACGTCGCCACCGCGCGCAAGGCCACCATCACGGCGCGTGTCCTCTCCCTCGTCCACGCCGTCCTCGGCAGGGGCATCCACGTCACCAAGCGTGACCTCTTCTACACCGACGTCAAGCTCTTCGGCGACCAGTCCCAGTCTGACGCCGTCCTCGACGACGTCTCCTGCATGCTCGGATGCACCCGGTCCTCGCTCCACGTCGTCGCCTCCGAGAAGGGCGTCGTCGTCGGCCGCCTCGTCTTCGCCGACGATGGGGACCGGATCGACTGCACGCGCATGGGCGTTGGTGGGAAGGCCATTCCGCCCAACGTCGACAGGGTCTCGGGCATCGAGAGCGACGCGCTCTTCATCCTCCTGGTGGAGAAGGACGCTGCATTCATGCGACTTGCCGAGGACAGGTTCTACAACCGCTTCCCCTGCATCATTCTGACGGCCAAGGGGCAGCCTGATGTCGCCACTCGGCTGTTCCTGCGGCGGCTCAAGGTTGAGCTGAAGCTGCCAGTGCTCGCGCTGGTGGACTCCGATCCATACGGGCTCAAGATCTTGTCAGTGTACATGTGTGGTTCGAAGAACATGTCGTATGACAGTGCCAATCTGACGACGCCGGACATTAAGTGGCTCGGTGTCCGGCCGAGCGACCTGGACAAGTATAGGGTGCCTGAGCAGTGCCGTCTCCCCATGACCGATCACGATATCAAGGTGGGGAAAGAGCTGCTCGAGGAGGACTTTGTGAAGCAGAATGAGGGCTGGGTGAAGGAGCTGGAGACGATGCTGCGCACCAAGCAAAAGGCTGAGATACAGGCCCTCAGTTCCTTCGGCTTCCAGTACCTCACCGAGGTCTACCTGCCTCTCAAGTTGCAGGAGCAGGATTGGATTTGAGAACTCGTCCGATGCTAGGTACGAGATCTTTGGTCTTGTCCGTGTTCCTTTGTTCATTGCTGGGCAGTAATTGAAATGGATGAGTGAGCTTGATACCGTCTTGAACTTATTATTGCATTTCACGAAGTACACAATACTCCCCATGAGTAAATTAGCAAGATAGGGATTCAGATTGTTCAGTCATATCAGTTAACTAAGATTGTTATTATACCTGATATTGTGTTTGTACATGCAGATATCAGTAATTTCCTTAGCCAAGATCATACCTTCCGCTCAGTATTTTCAAGGACCAAATTGGCATGAGTGAAGACTTTGCTATCTAGTTAATCACATGTATATTTGAACACCAGCTGTTGTGTTATTTATTTCTGCTGGAGAACTGTTTCGTGGAAAACATGATATGTACTGGAATTTGATACATAACAAAGGTGGTTTAGATCGGTCGGGCCTCCTATCTCGTCGAACTTTAGCTGTTTTGTGTCCTATTTCTGTATGGTTTATTACTTCCGTGTTTACATGGAAATGGGATAGCCCGGTTTGAATGAACTGTACTGGAAATTGATATATCCGTACAGTATGAAAGTCCATGCTTGATGTCTTTAGAAACGCGACAATTAAATTCACAAAACAGAAGTCTGAATGTACTGGACAACAGTCGAGACTCCATTGCCTGCCAACAAGTCCCTTTTTCAAGTCGTGTCGTGTGCCTGGAATACCAGGAGCAGTAACCTGTTTTCATATGTACATCCAATCCTGGAATAACTCTGCTAATTTACTGGTATACTAAATGGACTAAAAAGGTAGTTGGGAAATGTCACTCTGCAATCCTCACGGCTTTCTTCTTCAACCAATGGTTCAGTGAGTTGATAGGGATTTTTATCATTCCCTGTGGTCTCCTAGTAAATTCTTTGGATATTTGCTCTAAATTACTTCTAGATTTAGTTGGTGCTTTGGGTTTTGATGAAACAGGAGGGCGGCTTCCAGGTCCAATCAAAACTTCAAGACCCAGATCAGCCGTCAAAACAGTAACTATTGCCTGCACGACGTCAACCGTATTAGTTTCAGCTTCAGTTCTTGATGTCTTCTCATGACCTGTGATGATAACCACATCATCCTGGACCACTCTTCCTGATCAATGTTTCGGCATTGAGGTATCAAAATAGAGGCTTAGCGTCTATGCTTTTTTATTGTAAAACGAAAGGAAGTGACAGCCCAACATTACCTAGGAGGTATTGCTCTTTGATCTTCCGAAGAACAGAGAGAACAACAATTCGAGCTTCAACCTGCAGAATACATGGTATTAGGGTAAGCACAAAAAAAAATATCAATGGTTTCTGTAAATCACAAATCATTCAAAATCAGTCATCATGTTCATGTGGCAGATCGTTGGCATATCATAACTTGAACTGGTTGGATTTCAGTTACCTTTGAAAGGCCACGAACATCGACAATTTGGTTCTGATCAGTATCTTTTTGCAAGACTGTTATGACTTTCTCAAGAAACAGGTTGAACGATTCTTTCCTCTTAGGTTGTAGATCCAAATTGTAAAAATCTTGATTATCACTGCGACTAGACAGAACTCCTTCACACCATTCCACTATTAATTCCTTGAGATAATAGTCATTTGCCTGATACCTGGAATGGGAAATTAGGCTGTCAGTATGTTTCCTACAATGGAATAGTGGAATTAGAAGCGATAGACACCTAGGCATGAGATAACAACTAAAGCTTCAGTGGATTACATCCTCTGCTGATACCTGTTTGTTGTCAAAATAATTGTAGCTTGGAGCACTTCTAGTTTTCCATTATTTATGGTGTATTCCATGAATTTTACACTGTAACATTTATATCAGATAAACCTTGGTTCTTCATTTAATGCAATCTTGAATTACTGTCAAAGTGGTAATCTTATAGTATGGAAAGAGTAGAGCTGTCGAGGAAAAAGCACTTGTACGGACTTCAAAAGTATCAAAGAAACAGCATATTATCGTTCTAGTCACATACCCTGCTTTCCTCATTTCCTGATATATTGCTAAACACTGCTGGACCTCCTGTAGTGATCCATAATTGCTGCGTGCCGCCAGGAGAGTTTTGTAGGTCACCTGAAAATGAACTACTATGTCAAATACAATTTACACCGATGGAATTTTTGCAGGTTGACGTAGAGCAAACCATTCGACTATGCCATGTGTCATATCATAATGTCTAACATCAACAAGCAGCAGAGGATATCCAACTAATCAACCAAAATAACTTGACACCAATAAATTATGCATGCATCCGAAGCATTTACCAGTCAGCAATAGGCACAAGCTACTCTGGATGAAATTAACAATACATTAGTATACAATATAAAGCCTAAGCTTTCATATGAACCTTAAATGCTGCCAGGTGCCAAATAGCTCATGGGGCAAACAATAAATGTTACATCAGGAAGCATCAAATCTTATAGTTAAGGAAAAGCAAAGCATCAAAGCTTTGCACCTAAATTTTAGATAAAACTCACCAAATTGGGCTTCAGTTGGTGTGTTTTCATTTCTTCAAACAAGTGCAGTGCTAACTTCAAATCTTTGTTTTCAACACATGCCTGGAGGACATTGTAGCAAAAGCTTACTGGCAGACCATAAGTCTATAAATAAAAAAGAAGTGCCCATTAACCAAGTAAAAGGTGTTGTCCAGTGACCAACCTTAATAGCAACAGTATATGCAGAGACATTAAGTCTCATCCCAACTCGCTGCATTCTCCTTAGTGCCTATGTCAAAAAGAAAAGGATAGCAATGATTAATTTATTATTTATTGGGGAAAACCAAAAACCATAACAATCCACATTAAGAAATAAGTAAGTGTTATGTTTATCCAGATGAAAAAAATCACATGGACATTGTCAACAGTGTAAGGGCAGTACTGAAAAATGGAAAGGCATGCCACATAGATAGGAGCATCTTCTGACTTCTGCAACTGTGATACTGAGAAAGTGAATTGCCATGGAATGCAAATCAAGGATCATTTGCAGCCAGAACTCCACAGGCTAAGTGGATCCATAAAATAATTCAGTATCTATTCCGTCATCTATTGAATCTATTAGTTCTTTGATTCTTTGTCCACAAGAGGTATATCAAGTTTTATAAAATGGAATACTTCAACAGGATACAAACAAGGAAGGCATATTTAGTTGACACAAAAGTTGATATAAGGCCAAATGTCATAGCAGACTATATTGTGCAAAAGATATCAAACATAAAACTTTGAAGCGTGAAACCTGAACAGCTCCATCCCTATTTTGAGAAGTTCCATAAATATCCATGAGTATAGACCAGCTGATAAGATCAGGACAAAGGCCATTCCGCCTCATTTCGTTCATTACAGACTTTGCACGTTCTGCATTAGTACCACAAGCCTTCATCAAGATGTTATAGGTTGTGACTGTTGGCCTGAATGGAACCACCAATATAGTACTGCCATTACTAGGATACTCTTTACAGAATGTAAAGCCACCATCAAGACCTCTCTTCTGTTCAGGGGATAGAGATATCTTGATACCAGACTCCTTCCAATTGTAGAACAAGCGGAAAGCTCTATCGTATTGGCATGACTTGACACAAGCAGTAAGGATAATATTGAAGCATGGGGCTGTAGGTTGGCAGCCATCCCTTATCATTTCTTCAAGGATCTCTATTGCACGATCGACCAGACCAGAATTTGCATAACCATTGATTAACGATGACCATGTTACTAGGTTAAGAAGAATCCCATTCACTTGCATATCCTCTTTGATGTTGGAAGCCATCTTCCACATTTTTGCATCTGCAAACACCTGGAATTTAAAGAGAAAAGAATTCTGGAAACCATAAAAAGCTATAATGCATGGACAACAACAACAAGAGCCCCCATACCTTCATCATTGTACTATATGTGAAAACATCTAGCTTTAAAAGGCCATTATGTTCCTTTTTCTTCATTTCTTCATAAATTTCTTGAGCCAAGTTGAATTCTCTGGCATTGCAGCATGTCTTCAAAAGAATATTATATGAAGTCAAATCAGGAGGGATACCGAGATTCTGCAAAAACACAAAATGGTGTAAACAGTAGCTTATGGTCACTGTGCGACTGTGCTGTGCATAAGATTATAGAACATATTTGGTCACGAATGAAGGAAAAGTAAATCAAAGGAACAACCAAACACACAGTGTAAATATTGTTTTAGTGAATACAATTAAAAACAACATGAACAAGCATGGAATAGCAAACAGAAATTGGGCAGAACATAGCAAATTAGAAGAACTAGTTACAATAGGCTGACACAAAAAAGGCAAAATGTGATGCAACAGAATCAATTTGCATGAAGCTAAAACAACCTACCTATGAACAGCAACAATAAGGTAGAAGATGCATTACTTGCATATGCTTGTAGACTGAAAAGTTGTAGCTCAAGCTATGGGCATTAACATTCATTAGGCTGTTGAAGACGTAGGTATTTGGAGTAATCTTATCAGCAAGCAGCCCCTGCATATGATTCACATGTATGATATATGAGTGAAGTCTGGAACCGCCTGAGTATTAGAGCACCTGTCTACAGCAGGTGAACAGAAGGTAGCTTAGTTGGATAAAATTTGTGTATTCCTCTTTCCTCTAGAGAGAGAGAGAGAGAGAGAGAGAGAGAGAGAACTTTAATGAATAAGGGATTTAATTCGATTTTTCATAATTGGCAATGACTACAAAGCTATCCCTTTTAGAGACACCTTATTTAACTTTAAATATACGAAACTCTCTAAACTTAGGGAACCTATTTCTAATTCAATGAAAATATCTACAAATGTAAAGAAGCAAACTCAGCTAACAATTAAATTAACTGTAGTCAATGAGGGATATCAAGTACCTCAAATATAATTCGAGCCTGTACAGCAGAGCCACAATGGCCACATATATCTATTATACTTCGGCATGCAAACATATTGATGCCTCCAAGCTGGTCCTTAAGGGCTCCAAAGACCATTAAAGCATTTTTCAAATCCTTTCTTTTTCCAAAAGCTTCCATGGTATCGCAGAGTAAAAGTTGGGAATTAGGAAATATGCGTGCATACCTACATGTCAAAAAACAATGCATTGCAGGTATCAAGATTGATGGAAAGAGTATGAAATTTTAACAAATCCCAAGAGTATGATCCAAGGATCAAATCCACGTAGTGCATAAAGCTTAAATCTCCGCGAGGCCGTGAGAAACATGCCATGCTAACACTAACATCCTTGAAGTAATCATCATATATTTAGTTGACAGAATTCAAGACATGTTAAATAAAGATGTGATAAGTATGACCACCTTATAGCTATATCTGGGTCACGCTGCTTGACAAATATTTTCAGTACATCCATGGGGTTCACAATGCCTTGAACATAGAATCCATACCCTAAACAAATAATAGATCAAAGCAAAACATTAACAACAATTCAAGATTTAATGAATTGCCATCTAAAGCATGGGTAGGGGAGAATTGATAGCAAAAAAAAGGTATTCCCTCCATTCCAAATTATAAGATGTTTTGACCTTTCTAGATATATTGTTTTTACTATGTATCTAGACATAGTGTACATCTAAGTGCATAGCAAAAGCTATGTATCTAGAAAACCCAAAACGTCTTATAGTTTGGAATGGAGGGAGTACACATGAAGAGTGTTGCCAACTGCACAGGATGTACAGCAATGAAGACTTTCAGCAAACAAAATATAAGAAAATAGTATGTTGGTAAATGCAGACGAATGCACCTCATCAGTAATTATGGCAACGATACATTGTATAATAATCAAATGCAGAATTCCAGAACATAAACAGCACTATATAGCAAGCAAATAGCTGCTAATTATGTTTGTCTGCATGTCCAAGTCATTAAGAATCACAACATGTTTATCCTTAGCAGTAGTGCTGCCAAGTTTTAATAAGTTCTGGAAGAAACTAGAAAGAGAAGGGCGCATGCTTACATTTAAAGCAGGGTTTATGCAATATGTAAATGAAAAAATGACATCCTGCGCAACAAAAATGAGATGTATCGTCTCACCAATTGAACAGGTAACTAGGTAAAAGCCATGAGTCAACTGCTAGCTGATGATGATATTAAACAGATCGATTATCTCGCTGAAATTAGCATCCTGACTGCAGTCTTAATACTGACATGCCAATTCATGCATGAAAACTACTAAACCACCTAAACCATTCAATAAACTAAAAGATTGATGCATCTAGCATGAAAACTACAACTACTGATTAGAAATTTGAGAGATCCACATCCGCCCTGAGGCAAGTCTAAGAACATGGTAAGCAGGTGATCATCAGTGCATAAAGCTACATTAACGAACCAATCGCGATTAATGCACCAACCAAGGTAGGTGAATCAACTAGCTGAAGCATAGACTTCATGCCAACATTATGATATAGGGGGAAAACCCTAACTGCAGCATAGACATGAAGAGATTGGGGGCAATATTACGAGCTAGCGCCTCGACGACCTCCACGAACTCCACCATTCGTCGCTCCTCCAGCAACATCCGGCAGGCGCCGGCGACAGCGTCGGACGCGTCGGCGTCGAGCATCTCGACTGCGGGGACGCGCACGCGCTCGGCGTCTTGGAAGAACTCGAGCACGAAGGGCAGTCCGCGCTCGCGGACAGCGGCGGCGACGCCGCGCGACAGGAGACGGGCACTGATGCGCGCCGCGAAGGTGGGATCGTCGCCCGCGACTGCGCGGAGGCCCTCGGCGGCGAGGAGGAAGTCGCGGAGACGGCCTGCACCCGCGAGGTTGGATGCGACGCGGGCGTAGTACTTGATGGCGGCAGGGTCGCGGCCGACGCCGACGTCGGAGAGAAGGGGGAGGGCCTTGGCCCTGGGTTTGGGTTTGTGATTGGGATTGGCATTGGGGGTGGGGGGGGGGGTGGGGTGGTGTGTTGCGAGCGGCGACGGCGGCGGTGGGAAGGGGACGGTGGCTGCGGGGACGAGGTCATGGCCAAGGCCATGGCGGGGGAGTGGGACTGTGGGAGTGGAGATGGAAGCGACGCGTCTCCAAGCGTGGTGGGTTTTTGGGTGGCGCGGATTTTATTCGTTTGGATAGAAAGCTGACTGTGTGGAGTGGAGTGGAGTTGATACTATTTTTAAAAGAATTTACTCAGATTTAAAATAATTTAATTCGAAATATATCTAGAAATGTTTTTATAGAAACGGTAATAAAAAATCAATCTCTTCTCTATAACCAATCAAAATTATACTAGGTCACTCGAAAAAACACCCCCACAGAGAGTCTCCAAACATTGTGCACCCAAAATAAATTACACAATAAATTATCTTTATTAAAATCAAAGGCTAAAAACGCCCTCACATGGTTCGAACCCAATCCGATGGTCGATACTAGTTGTTTGATGCCAGGCTTCAAACGCCGCACCACGTCCACCCGGTTCGATTCCCACCTCGCTCATTTGTTTTTCCCTTGTTTTTGCGAAAAACAAAAGCCACCGCGGCCACCATCCCGGCATCTTCCCCACTAACCCTAGACCCCATCCCCTTCGCCTCCATACCAGGCTGGAGCCGCCGCCGCCGCCCCGCACAAGCATCGGTCCTCCTCGACCATCGTCTCGCACCCCGCCTCCCCACAATGGAGCCGGACCCGTCGGATCCCGCTGCGGCCGCGCCGCGCCGCCCGCCGCCGACGATGAGGAGGACGATGACCGCATCTTCCTCGTGCCCCTCAGGTGAGCGCACGCACGCCTAACCCTGTCCACATACCGCGATGCCAACCACAAGCCAAGATGGACGTCCTGTCGCCATTGTCGAGTACTACGCACCGACCACCTGCATTTTCATGTGGCCCTGTATTTGTTCGTGTGATATGCCATTGGTTAATGATAAAAAATACCTTTTCTCCAATCTATGGTAACGTTGACATGGAAATCCTGAACTTTGAATGGCATCAGTTCATGTCAGCTATTGAATTGCAGTTGATACTTTGATAGTCATTTGTTTTTATAATATCGATTTTGGTGTAACTGCACAAATAATATATTTGTTCCTGCAGTAGATAGTCATCTTGTATTATTGTTTATTCTATTAGATGGGCTTGCCTGACCACAGAATATAATACCTTTTTAGATAATTTGATAATGTAGCTATCTACTATATAAATTGTGTAATTCTTCTGTATTGCGTGGTGTCCATGAATAATTTGGGGCAAATCTATATTTTTATCAACCAGTGGTGTCCATGAAAAGAAGTCTCAATCTTGATCCACTTTCACTTACCGCTTTACTCATGCTTGGCGTTTTGCTGTTTCTGCTATTTTCTACCTAAGTATGATGTTGTGGACCAGACCCCTTAGACTGTATCTCTATGACTGACATTGTCAAGCTCTGACCATACATTGGTGGGCACATAATTAGCATGTTAACTTTTTATAGTTTTTCTCCACACAAATTACTACTATTCTTTTGATGGAACAGCACGGCTCCTTGCCTAGATCATCATAGTGGATATCAATATCATAAAGAAATAGCAGGCATTGTTATGAATAGCCGAAACAATAAATAGGACATTTTTTTGAATGACTTCTATTATCCGTTGTTATCACAGACTTGTTGCTCCCTTCCCCACCAAGAAGAACAAGATGAGCAAGAACGCCGGAGCGGGTGAAATATTCTTTCAACAACTTCTCATTTAAGGTAAACTATTATCTAAAAAATTCCGTGTTCCATTGCATACGAGTTTTCTTTTTTTGAATCTTGTCTTTGATGACTGAACTGTCCTTTCCTTCTTCTTTTTCTGTGATGTGCAGAACATCTCTCAGCTAGCATCCATGAACTATGACCTGATGACGAATCCCAACTTGGATCCTTTTTAGTCCTCAAAAACAGAGCAGTAAAGGTAGATAATAATGTTCCATTTCTGAATGTCGTAATCTACTGGACTGGACATTAGTAGAACCTAGCTACACTATTCTTCAATTTTTGTTTAGTCAGGAACTGAACCTCACCAATCAACACACCAGCAAGCTTTGACCTAACGATTGCAGTTTCATCTAGAACATGTTGCCCAGTCAATGAGCACAACTAAAAGTCAAATGCGCGTCGAATACGAATCACATGTAGTGGTGAGATGAAGTATTTAAAGGGAAGCTTCTTCACACGAAGGATAGGCAAAATCAGATTGCTAATATGGAATAGCTTGCACTGAGAGTCTGAGACTATGCATTATCAGAAGATAGGATGGTATCCACGGTTGTAATCTCGGACAACTGGCTGCAGATACATAGTGAATATAAACCTTGTTTGTAGAAAGATGGCACAATAGGTAGCAATGTAAATCCCTCGCCTTTTTTTAAGAAAATATTTCTAAAACCTGTAAGTCTGTAAGTGTGCTGAATTGGAACGTTCGGTGCCTTTTACAGTGTTTGCATCAACAGAAACAACAGCAATGCTCCTACCATGCAAACCCTGTCATAAGTTGTTGTAATAGTAATCTTCCTCTAATCTAATACACAGAAGCAAAAAAAATATATATAAAAAGTTTATCACAGCGACAACGAGATTATCTTTGTGAATTGGATGGGTGACTTTGCATTGTCAAAAGTTGTATGTGGTTGCAACACCGGGCGTGGTCTTGCAGAGCCAGCCAGCATAACGGAATCCATCACAAGTATTACGAGTTTCAGCACAACACCAGATCAGTGAAGCCATCAATTCTCCATTTCAGGTGATTTTGCATTCTAACCTTCCTTTCCGTGTAGGATGCAGTAACTATGTGTAAACTATTTTTTTGAGTGCTGTGAATTATCTATTTTTTTCTTCTTTCTTGGCAGTATTTATACTGATTTTTTAGCAAACTTGCAGGCTGCTTGTAGCAAGAAATTTGAGGAAGAAAATCAGTGTGTGGTTAAATATGTGTGTGTGGATAAATGTATAATGGCAGGTATAAATATGTGTGTGTGGATAAATGTTGTTGTGTACCGTTAGCATGGGTTGGTTTCTTGATTACCCAAACATATATCATGCTTTGGTTGATCTATGTTCTTTTTTTATGTCGCCGTAGCGTTAGCACGGGCAATATACTATAACTGACAATAACCTGGAGGCATATAGATTCTCTGTCTCCTGGTCCAGGCTTATACCAAGTATAACCATTTTTTGTGCAAAAACTTTATCGTGTATGAAGCAACAAATTTTAAAGATCTTGGATTAAACTTTCTTAAATTAAATAGGTGCTATTAATCCAAAAGGGTTAGAGTACTGTAACAATCTCATAGACCAGCTAGCTAGACACGGTATGCCTATTGCAAATAAATTTTGAATGGTACTTATATCTGGTAATTGTATGAACATAAGCAATATCAATAACTATTGGGCTCTTTAGGTGTCAAGTCCATGTTATGATTTACCAGCTAGATCTCCCTCAGATCCTGGAAGACGAGTATGGTGGATGTTTTAGTAACTTTAGCTGATATTTTTCCCTACATGCTGATGCCAAACTATTTTGTGAATCTGGCTCATCATGATATTCAGCAGATAAAAGTTTATAATCTTGCTGAATATTCTGTCCTTTGCCTAATTTAATTTTTTTTGTTGATATGTGTAGGTTTGCTCGGGCGATTTGTCTGGTGGTGTGCTTGTGCAACCCATAACATTACATGACTATGATGATAGAGACATGTTCTGCATTTTTCTTCTACCTGGAAGTGGCAATAGGAAGGTTAGTTGCTGCTAATTGCAACATCATCTTGATTGAATATTGATATCCCTGCACTTGGAATGTTATCTATTTCAATTCAAGGTCAGGGATGTCAAGCAAGTAAATGACAAAGTAACAGCAAGTGCAACTGATTTGATGAATGCAAACTTTGTTGCTGATGGTGGCACCAATATTATGCATCCTTTGAGTGAGGTATGGCATTTTGAATAACCTCAGTTGCGATTTTTATTTTTTATAATATGGATTTCTCCTGTTTTATCTTTCATCCTTCATCATTTATTCATGTAAGGCAATGTCATTACAATCAAGTGTTCGTCTCAGGTCACCAACAGAGGGTCCTCCAGCGCCTCACCCCACGTGTGTGTGGCAGTGGTAAACCGGCGGGAGAGGTTAGGCGCAGCGAGGCGCCACGCCACTGCTCGCCATTCCCCATGGCGCCGCCGCCCGAGGCCGACGTCCCAACCCGAGACGAACAGGGAGCGGATCACGGCGCCGGGCAACGCCGCTTGAAGCGGCAGTCGAAGCAGAACACCACCACGACGTGCGCCGCTTGGTCGGCTTCACTGCTCTTTGCCCTGCGGTGTGTCTTCTTGCCGCTACGCGCAACCGGATCTGATGCTGCCTAAGTCTAAAGCGTCGGCATGCAGTCACTGGCCACGAGTTTTGCTATGGTCTTTGTTCGTTGGTGCTCTCCCTGCTCTGGCCCTAGAGCACTTCTTACCCTAGAAGAGCGGCCATTGAGGATGCATCTGATCCGAGCTTACTGTTCCTATTTTTAATGCCCACTGTAATTCCTTTGGAACAGGGAACAAATAACAAAATTTAATGAAATAGATAATTCTTCCTTTATGAAGTTTTTTATTGATATCCGCGTGCATGTCCACTATGACTATTTAATATGCGTTACCTAGGTGTCGCTGTAACTAACGTTAGCACGGGATTCCTCCTTTATGACTGAGTTTTCTATTTATATCCACGTGCAACACTATTACTGTTTAATGTGTGCTTGTCGAGTATCGATATTAGGGATACCCAAAGAAAGGAAGTTAACGCCCATGCTGATTTTCCCAGATGGCTCGAGACGTATTAAAAGGTCTCGCCCGACCCCAAGGACGTGGTCTTCGTCTCGCCCGACCTCGAGGCCGCGGGCTCCGTCTCGCCCGACCCCTTGGGTGCGGGCTCCGTCTCGTCCGACCCTAAGGCCACGGGCTCGTCTCACCTGACCTCGAGTCTGTAGCTCTGTCTCACCCGACCCCTTGGGTGTAGGCTCCGTCTCGTCCGACCCTAAGGACACGGTCTCCGTCTTACCTAAGGTCGCGGACTCCGTCTCACCCGACCACGAGGACGCAGGTTTCGTCTCGTCCGACGAGGACCCATACCGCCGCCAACCACTCTAGGTCCAAGCGTATGAGCCTGGATATAAACTCTGACGCCAGGGAAGAGGCTGGCATGCCTCGATGTAGCCCGTGGCCATGACAGGCCATACCTGAGGATTCACATCAAGAACAGTGTTGGATGTGCCGGTGCTGTTCTGCCTAACCCTCATACGGATGCTGATAGGCGCGTTAGTTCACCATGATGTCGATCGAGACGGAGTGGAATGCCATGACCGGTAGATGACGTCTGCGCATGACGCCAGTGACGAACAGGGCCGTGACATGGAGCCGTCCCTGTTGACATCTACAGGATCAGTGGGACCCGCATGAAGGAGAAGAAGGACCCAACAACCCTAAAAGCCTTCTTCTCTCTCTTGTTCTTCTCATTTTTCCTCCTCTGTAACCCGCGCTTTCCCTTCGCCTATAAAAGGGGAAGTAGGGTGCCCTACGCTAGGGGATCAGAAGGGGGGAGCTAAAAACACAAGAGCATGACACGAGCACACGGCTGAGCGGCAAGCAAGCTCTCAGCACCTATTCACTCCTTCCACCAGAGACTTGGGATCATTTCCCTCTCTCGCCTGTTTGTAACTCCTACTGCAAACCAAGTGCCGGTAACACGA